CTCAGTTTGCGGAAAAAAGTATCCACACTCTGAGGGGACTGCTGAGAATTAGATATACAGATAGTGATAAAATGGAGATTTTTAAAAAACTGGTTGCATTAATGAGCTGGTTCAATAATTTTATATCTCCTAGAACTCGGGAAAGCCACAGGAGAAGATGTTACAACAAACTTAGCACACAGGGGAAAATGTCTGTCAAAATTTTCATGAGCAGTGAAATTCAGATTAGCACAGCATCTCACCACACATGCATTCATTAATGAGAGAATAAAAGTGGACATCTTCCCAGGTTAGTAACAAAAACAGCCATAAAACAACTGATTTTCTTTTCCCCAGGCTGTAGAGCTCACTGTTATTAAGACTCCTGCCCCATAAAAAAGAGCACAAATACGTGCTCTTTTTACCAAATGGAAAGGAAATGGTGGGTATGTTACCGTCAGTGTAGCACTTCTAGGCAGTGAAACAGAGAAAGAGAGAGCCTGCCCAGCAAATGCACAGCCACTGTAGCAACCAATGGTGGTTCGAAACAGTTTCAGCAGTGGGAGCAATGGACATATCGGTGGCAACTGGGCAAGTCATAGTATCACTGGTAAAGCAAGTATAAATCTCAAACAACAAAAAGAGTGACAAACTCAGCCTCTCAGATAATAGTCTAAGATCTCTAAGTAACCCTTAAGGTAATGTAAACTTTGTGACAGACTTCCGTGCTGGCAACACTTACTGAATGCTACTCCGCTCTGCAGACTCAATCTAGCAGAAGCGCAAAATATTAAGAAAACTGCCTGCAGGTGCCACAGTTATGGGAGGTTTGGTACAAACATATAAGAATTTCCCACAAGTTGTACTTTCTACCTGCACATTATGATGAAGTTCCCTTCCTTCCCATTTGTGTCTGGTCAGTGTGCCTCAGGCAACTGATTTTAATATAAGATACACGCCACCCCATACTGAGCCATAAGCCTCTTTCTTCCCCTTGATTCAACTTTCTGCAACATCTTCCACACAGATTGCCTCTACACAATGGCGCCAGCTCATCCTCGTAAAGACAACACAGACCACTAGCCTCAACCCTCCTTCTGTTGCTCAGCAGATGTACGCTGATCCAGAGCTTTATCACCTCCAGACCAGATTAACTGTAACACCATGCAGAGAAGGAAGGAGGGAGGGAGATGAGACGACAACACAAAGGGTTTGCAAAGCTACTCTGAAACATCCACTGGTAAAAAGGTGGTTGCCCGTTCACTGAGAAGAAGAAGAAGAAGAGAAGAGATTGGATTTATACCCCGCCCTTCACTACCCAAAGGTGTCTCAGAGCGGCTTACAAACTCCTTTCCCTTCCCCTCCCCACAACAGACACCCTGTGAGGTGGGTGGGGCTGAGAGAGCTCTGACACAAACTGCTTTGTTTCAAGGACAGCTGTGCCAGAGCTTGTGACTGACCCAAGGTCACATCAGCAGGTGCAAGTGGAGGAGTGGGGAATCAAACCCGGTTCTCCCAGATTAGAGTCCACACACTTAACCACTACACCAAACCGGCTCTGAGAGTTGACTTCCTCTTGTAAGAAATATTATCACATTTGCCCGTGCCTTTAATAAATTCCACTTTGTGCCGATTTTTTTTAAAAATGTAGTAATTTTAATGCTAGGAATCCTCGGATAGGTCTAACCCTACAAAATGTATCTGGAGAAGTGAGCAGTGACTCACGAAAGCTCATATCCTACCATAAGTTTTGCTAGTCTTTAAGGTGCTACTGGACTCTTTCCTAGTCCTAAAAAACTAAGGTTGCATCATTTCCTGTATGGAACCTGTTGTATGTATCGCTTTTACTTCATCCTAGCTCTCTGTGGAAAGAGCAGATCATTCTTGGGCATCAAAAGGCCTGGATCCTATGAATGAGTTTCACATAAGCTGGTCTCTGCCCTTCAGCGCACTTCCTTTTCTGCTAAAGCTTCTATTTGCACAATTTTCAGGGGCTTTTGCACAAAATGGAAGTTTTAGCAGAAGAGGAAGCACCCCCCGTGGCAGAGACTATAGTCAAATCTGCATTGTCTGTTTGAACATTGTTTAGAGAATATTCATTTAAAGCAGTGTGGAGGCACAATGCAGAGACTCTAAAAGCTAAAGACATGGCCCTTGCATAAATATTAGAAGTGAGCGTATGAGTCAACTATTCCCACTGCTCCAATGCTGAGCTCTGCACGCACTCTTAAGACGCAGCTGAATTCTAACAATAGCCTAACATTACATATTTCCTCCAGTGAAGATCACAATGACCACAAAGAGGGGCTGTCTCCACAAGAAGCCATAACTCCTGAAGTTATCAAAAGTCAACTTCATCCAGATTTGTACGGCAAAAGAAATTTTTATAACAGCGGTCTTTTAAAAGAGTGTGTTCGTTTTAAATCTTGGTTTACTGACAAAGTTTAAGGTGAGCTTGAGAGACTGGCCAAAGCTTAACAGGTCAGTTTAAAATCCTGCCTGAGCCAGGATTTGTAGGTCTCCCACCTCTGTACCCAGTATACCAGTGGTCATACGTCACACTGAGGTGGCACTCCAGCAAATGCAAACATTCAGCTGTGACTTTGGAAGAGACTGACTGTGAGAAAAACTTACCCTCCCATTTCTATATTGCGTTGACAGGTTTAGCTTTGTATAGGTTTATGGCTCCCTATTTTAACTTCAAGATTACTTAGTGGATTTGACTGGAGCTGATTGGGTTATTAGCTCAGCGGGTTGTGCTTATGCCGTGAGCATAAATATATCTTCAGATCAGCAAAGCATTTGACAAATTCCCACATGTTATCTTAGCGACCAAGTTGGTTAAGGGCTGGCTAGAAGTCAGTAGAGTACGGAGGATTCACAGCTGGTAGGAGAACTGTACTCCAAGAATGCATATCCATGACGCTTTGTCAATCTGGACCGGGGTTTGTCCTAAGTGCAGTACCCTTCCCTTTTTAAAAAATGAATGACTTAGATGAAAGCAATCCTTGTCAGATCTGCAGATCACTATCCCTTGGAGCTTTTGTGCTAACACCTCAGAGGACAGGAATAAAATATAAAACAACCTTGACATATTAGAAAGCTGGGCTGAGGCGAACAGAATAAATTCAATACAGCTGCATGCAAAATTCTGCATTTAGGCAAATGGAATCAAATTCTCGGGTAGAGGGTGGGGTGGGGGAATACCTGGTTTGGCAGCAGTCCTCCTGAAAAAAAGGTCTTGGGTTGCAGTCGCTCACAAGCTGAGCGTAAGTTAGCAGTGAAACCAGACTGCCAAAAAGGCCAGTGCAGTTTTAGGCCAGATTCAGAGAGGCATAATATCCGAGCGAAATAATTTCATTCTGTTCCGCACGACCATCCTACGGCTTGCCGCATCCGGTTTGGGAGCACTGCGTTTTTACAAGGAATGTGGATAAACTGGAACCGGTGCAGCGGAGGACAATAAAGATGGTCAGGGAAACAAGTCTTACCAGGAAAGGGTGAAGGAACTGGGTAAATTTTGTGTGGAAAAGAGAAGCCTGGGAGCAGTGGTGGGGAAATAAATACAACAGCACTCTTCAACTATCTGAATGGCTGTTGCATAGATGAGGGCAAATACTCTGTTTTCTGCTGCACTGGGGTAGATTCAGTGGGTTTAAGTTACATGAGGACAGGTCCCATATTATGAGAAACTTCCTAACAGTGAGAAAAGTTTGACAATGGTATTGGGGGGCGGGTCTCTCTTTCTACAGATTCTAGGGGAAGGGCTGCAGCTCAGTGGAAGAGCCTCTGCTTTGCATGCAGACAGTCCCAGGTTCAATCCCTGGCATCTCCAGTTAAAAGGACTGGGCAGTAGGTCATGTGAAAAACCTCTACCTGAGACCTTGGAGAGTCAACACCAGTCTGGGTAGGTAATACTGAACCTGATGAACCAATAGTCTTAACTCAGTATAAAGCAACTTCATGTGTGACCAAGGAGGATGTAGGTGAATCAAGACCAAGGCCTTCAAGCAGAGGCTGGAGAGCCATCTACCAGAGATGCTGAAACTTTGTACTTCCTGAATGGACAGGAGGCTTGGACTAGATGGCCTGTTAAGGCCTCTTCCAATTCTATGTTTTTAAGGTAGCCTCTGCACTTTGGTTCAAAAGAAAACTACATTCCTTGCATACTCAGTACACCTCACTCCTGAAGCCTGATCCTAAACCCACTCATTTGGAATTAAGACAGAATTTAACTAAATTTGCTCCACAGTAAGTGTGTTTACAACTACGACATGACTGTTTAAAAAAAACTCTGCAGAGCCAGATAAAGTTTATATAAAGTAACGCACTTTTCAGTTTTAGTTTGTATAACACGCTCGTCACCTTAAGTCCTTTGTGGCACAGTCAGACAGGTAAGCACATTTGTTCTCTGTGACGATACTCTAGGTTAACACAGACTAATTTCAGAATAAGAGGCAAGATTCTTAAGTTAAAGCATACCTGGAATATTATTACCACCATCCCCAACACAATCTTACATTAAAAAGCGCAACACAGTGAAGATTTAAAGGGGAACCAACACTGTATTTTAGTTAATGGGCTAAACTGGGTAACACTTATTTGCAAAACTGGTAATCGGAACCCTGGCCTGCTTCCAAAACAAATGCAAAGGATTTGCTGAAAACAAATGCAAAGGATAAGACTATCCTTTGCAACAAAGGAGAAAAATTATTTATATAAATTGCCATTGCAGAACACTTAAAAGCAAATTATGTACTAAAATTTCACTGGCTATTTGCCAGTCCTGATTTTCAGCTGTAAATTTTCTTCCTAGGATTTTATACCCATTAAGGAGACAAAGCAGCAATAATTTTGCTGAGTTTACATGAATGCTTGCTGACTTATTATTTCACTTGCCAGAAATCGTAACATGATAGCGCGTTTTCATGCAACTTTAAACCAAAACAGTCCGCAGCTCTTCTATACATATGCAAAATGCCATTTTAAGGATATCTCCCATCTTTAACAGAACACTTTACCTCTCTGCCGGTGAGGATGTGCCTGGCCAGTTTCACTTTTGCAAAATTCCCCTTTCCAATTGTTTTAAGAAGTCAGTAATTCCCAATATGGGGCTGCTCATCTGCACAGGAAGCTATAGAATTCCTACAGCGGGCCCCAGAGCGACTAGTCCGAGATGAAACATCCTGCCGTCCTTCACCATGAGAGGTGTGCTGTAACAAAGAAAGGCGTATGTTTAAGTACATAAGCTATGGATAATCTATATGTCAACAAGGACACTGAGTACAATAAACTAGAACCGAGGGTAGCCTGTAGAAGAGAAGCTAATATTCACCAAGGCACTGGTTAGGGCAGAAACAGTTTCCTATATCCTACTACTAGCAAATAAGCAATATAATGCAAATTTTTAAAAGTTAATAATACACTGTAGATGTCAACATTTGACAATGCAAATTTTAAAAAGTTAATAATAATACACTGTAGATGTCAACATTTGACAAACTCAGACCCAGTCACCCTGTTGCCACTACATATTAAGCACAGGAAAACCACAGACCAGTTACCTAATCCTACCACATTCATAGGCATTAAACCTCTGAATCCCAGAGCCAGGAGCCAACACCAGGGGAAGGTCTGGGCCTCTATGCCCTGTTGCTGGATCCCACATCCCCCCCCCCCCCCGGGCTTCACACCGCGAACCAAAATCAATGACAAGGAAGTGGTGGAGCATCTAGTGGTACATAGCAAATACAGTTACTACCACCTTCATCTGCAGACTCAACACTATACGGTAGTGCTTTGCCCTCATTGCAGCCAGTCCTATTAAATATTAGGTAAAGGTTTCCCTTGCTTAAATACCAGTCAAATCCAACTCTAGGGGGCGGTGCTCATCTCCGTTTCCAAGCCGAAGAACCAGCGCTGTCCAAAGACTTCTCTGTGGTCATGTGGCCGGCATGATTAAACACTGAGGCGCACAGAACGCTGTTACTTTCCCACTGAAGTGGTACCTATTTACCTACTTGCAATTTCTTGCTTTTGAACTGCTAGGTTGGCAGGAGCTGGGGCCAGAGACGGGAGTTCACTCCATCACATGGCCCTAGGGTCTCGAACTGCCAAACTACAGACCTTTCAGTCTGCAACTCAGCTTCTTAACCTCTGAGGTTAAGGACTAATTTTCAAGAAACAGATTTTCAGGGTGACCATTAAGGGAAGCGAAATGCCTTTTTAAAAAAAGTTTAGTATGGTACACTACTAGTTGGAGGGGGGGGGGGATGCATGCCATTCAGGTTTTCTTCTGCCACAGGTACTGAAACATTTTGGCCTCAGAATTAGAACAAGAGAAGAGGGCAGGGCACTGAACAGAACACACAGGAAATGCCAAAGAAAGAATTCCGTATCATTCCTTGAGGGAAATGGATCCAAATCTAACTGAGTAGGCAGGCGCTGAGCTCGCAGCATAAATAACAGCTGACCTGTTCTTCTTGTAAAAAGCATCACTCAGAAAACAAGACTAGTCTTACGATTTTGTCCTTGCGATGGAGTCACTGCCTTTTCAAAAAGCTTAAATCTACAAAACGTAACTGGCAACTTCACACCACCCGCCCTGTCAGCAGTTGAAGAAGACCTTATCTTCCAGTATGACAGAAATAAAGCCAGCATGCTAAGAAAAAAAATGACACACACAGACACACAAACACACACACAGCAAAGACAAAGAAAAGAAGCCTTCTTTTACAACAGAATTTAAAAACCCACCTTTTCACAAAGGCTTTCCCCTACCGATGTTCCAGCATCCTTTCACATTGTGAGTTAAGCATGATGAAAGAGAGATAAAGAGAAAAAGAAGGAAAAGTAAAACATAGGGAAAGTAGCAGCAGAGACTGGTAAAAACCTGCATTCTGCATTCTAGAAACCGATTTTGGCCATACTTTTGTTACCATCTGAACATGGCCTATTGGGATGTTACCACCATCAGCACTTTACCCGTATTTCTGTTATGTTTATGAGTTTCTATTATGTTGCACTGTGTCAATGCATCTGTGTTTTAATATTTTTACTTTTAATGTCAGCCGCCCTGAGCCTGCCTTGGCAGGGAGGTCGGGATACAAATCGAATTAAATAAATAAATAAATTTCTTTTGGTTGGTACATACTGCAAATATAGTACAGAGGACACCATTAACCAACCAGCAACAGTCAACAGAGACGCGGCGACGTGATGACGCAGCGCGGTCGGAGCCAATAGGATGGAGACCAGCTGCTGCAGCCGTCGCACAGCCACACGCCATGAGGACCATTCCAGAAGGAGTCGCTGTGAGAAAGAATAGACCTTCGCCGAGATACCGTCGCCTGGAAACAGAAGAACCCACCACGGAAAGAACAACATAGGAAGATCACTGCTGCTTAGGTGCCCGGTAGGCACTCACCCCTCCCCTTGCACTGTGGCCCTAGTTAGGTGATTTAAAAATGTCTCTGTAAACCGCTCCGAGCCCTCGGGAAGAAGCGGTATATAAGTGTAATGTGTAATGTAATGTAATCATTAAATACTACTCTACAGAAGTATTAGCGGATAGAAAATCTAATAGATAAAGAGTTACAGCACTCAAGGAATAGAAACATCTCTCATTAGAAAACCAACTCTGCATGCAAGTTTGGATAATCCATTTTACTTGCTGGACTCCCCCCTTATCCTCTGTATAGGAGTCATTTTGTATAAATATTCACTGACGCATGAAATACTACATAGGAACAGACCCATGCATTCAGCTGAGTATGACACATTATCCCAAGTCTGTGTCTGGAGTACAGCGAAGGCTCCTTTATGATGATCCTCTGCACATACGGAGCAGATAGTCACCTTCAGAATCCAAAACAGTTACTCCAGAGAGTAATACCCTATGATATTATGAAGCAATACAAATCTGAGGGCAAGTGTGCATATCCCCACCACATTAATATCCATGTTTGTAGGACTCCCAACCCTGATCTCACACACTGCCTGAAGCACAGGTGAGCACAACTGTACAGGCAACAACCTGCTCCACTCAAAGAGACACAACAGACTTCTCCAACTGAGAGGTTTAGAGGGAAACGTTTCCAGAATGAAGAGTTTATCCAGAAAGAACATCCCTTTATACAGAGTACCTATTTTTTGTTCCCGCTTCCGCCAATATACTTGGTTCAGAGATTTAAAAACCACGAGAATCGAGTATGAAGTCCCAGTAGGACTCAAGTACGGTAAGCAAAAACGATCAAATCTTGTTCCTTGGTTAAAAAAAATCTACAGCGGAGTCAAAACTAATTATTTTCAGTTTCTACAGCTGCGATTTAGAACCTGCAGAACAACAAAAGAAGTCAACACCTTAGTTTCACAAGATACACTAAGCGTAATTTTTCGACATCCCTGCAGAACGGTCTTCTTAGCCTGCAAAAAATTAAAAACAGTTGAGAATACAAGGAGAACAGGCTCCTTTACTTTTGCTACAGCGCAGATAAGGGAAACACGTTTTTGCTTTACAGCCTGAAATTACATTATCACCCTGTGACGCTTTGAAGGGAGGACAAGTGACAAAGTGACAAGTGCCGCTTGCAGATATCATAACATAACCAGCTGTAACTAAACTCCAACTGGGCACAGGCCCAGTTTTGATACTGCGCAGCAACCCTTACTCCCCCCACCCCCTTCTAACAGCATATAGAGGGTCACTGAATACCTCCTGGGCAGCTTCCATACACGGTTTTTACCCTAAATGGACAGCATGCCCCTGCATTTTTTTCAGAGCTCCCACACAATGTCATACCCCTTCTGAACATGAACGCATGGGGATCTCCTGGGGATTCCCTGTTTAAATCAGAACAAAGGATCCGACTGAAAATGGAAAGCAAGGAGCCTCTGCCCACAGCCAGCCCTAGTAGGAGCGGTGCTCAGCTACACCTTCGAAATGGCAAGAGCTAAACTCCGTACCCCACAGCCAATCCTAGGAGGAGCAGTGCTTAGCTCCACCATCAAAATGGCAGTGCTAAACTCCGTACCCCACCAGCCAATCCTAGGAGGAGCACTGCTTAGCTCCGCCTTCAAAATGGCAGTGCTAAACTCTATCCCCCACCAGCCAATCCTAGGAGGAGCAGTGCTTAGCTCCACCTTCAAAATGGCAAGAGCTAAACTCCATACCCCACCAGCCAATCCTAGGAGGAGCACTGCTTAGCTCCGCCTTCAAAATGGCAGTGCTAAACTCTGTACCCCACCAGCCAATCCTAGGAGGAGCAGTGCTTAGCTCCACCTTCAAAATGGCAAGAGCTAAACTCTGTCCCCCCCCAGCCAATCCTAGGAGGAGCAGTGCTTAGCTCCACCTTCAAAATGGCAAGAGCTAAACTCCATACCCCACCAGCCAATCCTAGGAGGAGCAGTGCTTAGCTCCGCCTTCAAAATGGCAGTGCTAAACTCCGTACCCCACAGCCAATCCTAGGAGGAGCAGTGCTTAGCTCCACCTTCAAAATGGCAGTGCTAAACTCTGTACCCCACAGCTAATCCTAGGAGCAGTGCTTTGCTCCACCTTCAAAATGGCAGACCTAACTCCATACTCCTTCAAGGTTTGTCTTCTCCGTAAAGCTCAGCTGTCTGTGCCACAGTTCAACTGAGAAAGGAGGAAAGGGAGGGGTTACCAGGTGCAAAGAGACACGCATCAGATCAAAGGAGAGAAAGGGATGGGCCATGAAGAAAACTGCCTCTGCCCACTCCCACCTCGCTGACTGCTGCATCAAGGGTACCTTTTCATACCCCTGCCTGGAGCTTCATCAAGCTCCAACTAACTAATGTTCGAATGTAGGTGCCTCAGCGAAAACAGAGCCTGTCTTCTGTGAAAAACCAAGGAATCTCAACCGGAATTAAACCAAGGATTTGAATCCCAGTACCCAAGGACTGGAAAGAAGCAAGTGTTAACAACAATTTTATTGAAGGGGTTCAAAGGAGTCCTGGGAAATTACAGGCCTGCTAGCTCAATGTCTACGCCAATTTAATTAGAAACTGCTAAAGAAAGAATTGTCAAGCACACAGAGGCACAAAGCCCGCTGAGAGAAAATCTACATTATTTCTGCAAAGGGAAGTCCCGCCTCACCAACATTTTAGAGTCCTGTCAGTTAGCAAGCACACAGACAAGGAAGGATGACCAGGTTCCAAAGTGCTTTTGACAAGGTCCCTCACTAAAGACTCCGAAGTACGCTTAGCAGTCGTGGGTTCTCTTGTGGATTATAAACTGGTTAAGTGACAGGAAGCAGAGAGTAGGGTTAAATGGACAGTGAAATGCAGTAGAGGGAAGCAAGAAGTGGGATCCCACAGCAATCAAGAGCTGTGCTATTTAATCTGTTCACGACAAAATCTGCAAATGGGCTAAGCAGGATCCTATGAGTGAGCCTGGTGAGCACTAGATGGCCTAACTAGGGATGGAAGGGGGGGGGGACTTAACCCTGAAACCTGGGATCCAGAACCTAAAGAGGTAAGTCAAACAGAATAGAGGGCCAACAATAAAAACCTGGTGTATACAGTATAAAAAGATACACATATTTATTAACAAAGAATGGAAAAACATATAAGGGCCCAATCACACTTCATGTAAAAATCAAAATCTAGCACACAAGGGCCAATGGACTGGACCTGATGCGTTTCGGCCTGTATAGGCCTTCTTCAGAGGTCAAACACAATGAGGAGCATACTGGCTTATAACATAATACAGTACAATCATACAATTATGCAACATAGATACAAGATGGACCAGAAAAGAACTGTTCCAAAGTGAAACCACTAGGCACAGAATAAAAGTATAAATGAGGCCTCCACAGATGCAATCACATGTCAAATGATGTTTCACTGATGATAATTTCTGGTCCAGAAAGTGCCTTCCAAAGATTGTTTAGCTCTAGATGGCCTACATCAGGATGCGTGTTTCCTCCGGCACTAGCATTTTCACTTGGCAAGTGCTTGCTGAAACCCACTGATCTTACACCAACGGAAGTGTTAGCGCAAGAGTGAACGGATTCCATGCAGAGGCTATCTAGTACACAGGGAGCTCGTTCACAGGATTCAAGCCCAAGTTTGCAGGTAATAACAAGATATTCAGGATGGTGGCAACGGGTTTTGAAGAGTTCCAAAAGGATCTCTACAAACTGGATCAACGGACAATGATGTGGCAAATGAAGTTCAATATAGGTAAGAATAAAGTGAAGCGCACTGGAAAAAACACAGTAATGTTAGATATATTCTGATAGGGTTTAAAATGGCAGCGTCTGAGAGAGAGAGAGAGATCAAGGGCTTGTAGCAGGTAGACTGACAAAAATGTTAAGTCACTGTCAATGTTCCCTCTAAGCTGAGTTAGTGTGAGCTAGCTCACAGTTTTTTAGCTTCCAACTCACATTTTTGTCTTGGATCAGGAAGGATGGCTCCAGAGCAAACTAATTTATGCAGTAGCCAAATTGCTCACTCACAACTTTAATGCCAGTAGCCCACAAAGTAGAATTTTTGCTCACAAAACTCCACAACTTAAAGGGAACATTGGTCACTGTACTGGCAAAAAGGCAAACTTTGGGCTGGGGATGAATAAGGAAGGAACTGAATTTAGAGATGTAAAATTTTGAAGCCATGGAAAAACATGGGCATTGAAAGGTTGGAGGGAGGGGTTTGGAAAAATGGAAGTGTTCTGAAAAACTGTAATATATGCAACACTTACTTTCCTACCAAACCTAACCTTATTTTGCTGCTTTACTAGCATAAAATGCATCAGTTATAACTTACTTAGTACATGC